CCTCCTGCCTCAACTTCTCTAATGTTGCTAGGATTATAGGCATGTGTTACCATACCCAGCTTTTGTGTGTGTGTGTGTGTGTGTGTGTGTGTGTACATGCATGTATTTAGTTGGTTGGTTTTTTGAGGCAGGGTCTTGGTAGGTAACTCAGGCTGGCCTTGAACTCCCTATGTAGTGCAGACTGGCCTCAAACTTGCGAGTGATTCTCCTGTCTCAGCCTCTCATTGCTGGGACTACAGGCTTGTGCAACCACGTTTGACTCTAAAGTTCTGAATGTTCACATATTATCCAAAGCCATATGATGAATCTAATATTTTCATTTTTATCATTTTTTCCAGTCTCTAAAACTATAGCATTTGGCTCTTTAGAAAAACAGTAGAATTTAAGAAACTAATACAAAGGCCCTTAGAGCTACAAAACATTAATCTGATGGTGAGAAAGAGCCTTTTAATCTCATCATTAAAACCAAGACATACAAAAACATGTACCTGTTTATCTTTTGTGGTTGCAGAGGGATAATGGGGATCACAGTGTTGCACAGCGACTTGCACAGAGGGCAGAGGTACTCTCCACTCTCCAAGTCAAACAGGTCCACATGCACACGCTGCTGAGAGCTTAGCTGCACAGCTTCAAAGTACCTGTGAAATCACAAAGAGAAAGGTCTGTCTAGAGCTACATATATGTCTTTGTTTTGATCCAAGTAAAAAAAAAAAAATTTGGAATTTTTGTCCCAATAAATATCTTTGAGTTTATACACAAAAACACAAGTTATAATTATAAAAGAGATTGAAAGTTAGGATATATATCACAGCAAATAAAGTTAAAGTAATTTCACTGACTCCTGACTCATTTCCTTCCTCAACAGCATGGAGACATAATTGTAGATACTTTTCCCTCAGTTTTCAATGGCCAGCTTCGGTACTGAGAGTTATCTAAGAAAAGTTACATAATTTAATCCAGTTGAAATGGGTAAAGTCTATATAAAATAATTATGTTTTTGAATATTTATTCTGAGATAAACTAGGACTTCTTGTCCTTCCTCAAGGGTTCTTGCATGTTTTCAGAAAACTTTTTTAAAATAAGGATTACCACCTCAGATCAGGAGAAGCTTTTGCTTTTGTAGATATATATAATGATTAGCTTTTGGAAACCAAGAACAAAGGAATAATGAATTATTATAGTTCATTTTATTTTGTTTTTTGCAGGGCTGCAGTATGAACTCAGGGTCTGTACACATCAAGCAAGTACTCTAACACTGAGGTACACTCTCTGCCCCTGAAAAATCTTAAATTCATAACTCTATATACAAATTCCTAAGGCTTATAATACTTAGTAACATGCAAGCAGATTAGTAATTAATATTGCTTCAATTATTCCAATAATAGAAAGAAAGAAGACATGAGGAAACATGCCTTTTTGTGGCCTGTTGTGAACTTCATTGTTCCTAGTCTCTTTCAAGAACATGTCAGAGGGACAACTTACTTCTGCCAGCACACTGCATGCATTACATGACCACAGCTTCCTGTATAAGTTCCATATGCCAAGTCTGGATCCATGAAAAGTGGGTCTAGGGTTTCTGGTTCAGAAAGATAAAAGTAACAAGTATATATTCTTCTCTTCCAAAATTACATAGGGGAGTAAGGAGAGACAGAAAAAAAGGTCACCAGGTCTAAATTCCTAATTAGAAATTGATTTCTTAGCAATGTCTACATATCACAATACTATTATTATAGACAGGCAAATTAGGCAGAAGATAGCAGGAAGCTAGAGAAGTACTGGGCCCAGAGTATAGTCAGAGTAACCAGGCCTTGATCAGATAAACAGCAGCCTGAGGTCAAAAGTAAGGACCATGTGAATAAGTAAGTCCAGGACTGTAACAAGTAAGGCAACAGCAAGATAATGGATAGCCATTATGACAAATTCTGCTCCTACGACCCAGAAAATGCCTTCTCATTTTGCTCTTTTAATAAACCAGTTAGAAAGGATAGAAACCACGAGGTACCTGCAGACATATGCTTGCTATGTGCTTTGACTCCTCAAAGGCCCATTTCTAGTTTAAATAAGTTTGTTTTAGTCCTTCAGATCGACATTAGCTTGCCTTGGAGTGGTCTAAGGCCTGAGCAGGACATTATTTTAAAATAGTAAGAAAAATATAAAACAGAATTATCAGGTATGATTTCAAAGTTAGTTTGGATTAATGACAACTTGAACTTTCATTTACATTTTAATTCTGAACATTAGGTTTAAAATGTATTATCATGGTTGTTGCTGTAATTTCTTTTTTTTTTTTTTTTGTCTTTTTCGTTTTTATCGGTACCAGGGATCAAACTCACGACTGCGTGCTTGCAAGGCAGGCGCTTATGCCGCTGAGCTAAATCCCCAGGCCCTGTTGCTGTAATTTCTATGATTCAAGAACAATTAACTTTTGTAATTTAAAAAAAAATCATTTGAATACATGATCTTTTTAATGGGCCATTATTTTGAGGGGCATTGTAACCCAGTGGAAAAGAGCACACAGATTAGTGGTGAACCTACAGCACACGTGCCCAGCAGGCTGTTGGTATCACTGAAAGCTCTAAAAAGTTTTGCAAAAAAAAAAAAAAAAACAGTTTGCTACTCACTGGTCTAGGGACTTCAAATTTGAGTTTCATAAATTAACTCATAGCTTGGGCAAGTTTCTTAACCTCTCTATGCCTCAGTTCTCTCATTTATTAAATGGAGATACTGGTGACTAACTCACAGGGCTACTGTAAAGATTAAGAAGGTAATGAATGTTTGGCATTTGTTAAGTAGTCAGTAAGTTAATTTATATTATTATTTCAAGGATATTTACATATAAAGCAGCTAACTCGATATGATATAAATATCTAATTGGAATTTTTACCTAGTAAATGTTGATAATGAATCAAATCATGAAGCAACAATCAGATAAATTTATAAATGATAAATCTATAAATGTATATAATGTTACAACTGGCCTGTATTCTTCAAACAAGTTATTATCATACAAAGAAAAAGTCAAGATAACTACATTAAAACAGATCAGGAAAAGCTTAAAGCAACACATGAAAACATAACTGGATCCTGAGTAGAAAAAACAGTCTACCTATGAAGATATTTTGAGAGGTACAGAAATAAAAATTTTACATTAGATATTATTGTTAATTTTCTTAAATATGATATTAGTATGGCAGATATATAATGGATGGTTCTTAAATTTAGAAAATGCACATAGCTGGGAAAGGCAGCACATACTTGTAATCTTAGCACTTGGGAGGCTGCAGCAGGAGGACCACAAGTTCACCACCAACCTGGGATACATGGTGAATTCAAAGTTGGCTTGAACTACATGAAACTCTTGTCTCAAAAAAACAAAAGGAAAATCCATGCAAAAATACTAAAGGATAACATATTGATGCATACAACCCACTTTCAAGTCATTCAGCAAACAATAAATTGTATAAAACCAGAGATAGAAACAGAGCTAAAATAAGCAATGTAGCCACATGCTAATGAAAACTGAAACTTTTTTTTGGTTTTTTTTGAAACAGGGTCTCATTATGCAGTTCAGGCTGGCCTTGGGCTCACTTTGTAGCCCAGACTGTCTCAAACTTGCAATGATTCTCCCACCTTAATCTCCCAAGTGCTAGCTTTATGGGCATGTACCACCATGCCTGGCTTGAAAACTAAAACTCCAAAACAACAACAAAACCGTAATGCAGTAGTTTTATGACATGTAAAACACTAGAGTCTTTTTTATATGTGGGTAAACTGTAACCTGACCAAATTAAACAGAACTTCATTCCCAAAGGTCTGTCAAAGAACATTTCTTCTAATTACAAAGATATAAAAAGAAATGCTGAAAAGGATTTTAAACAACACATACCTCCTGAGAGTTCTACAGGCTTTCCCCTGTGCTGGGTTAAAGCAGTAGATTTCTGGACACAGGCTGCTAATACCATGGCATTATTTTCTATTTTCACCTCTTGTTCTTCCTGGCAGAGGATGCATGTCAGCACCTCCTTTTCAGTAATGGTTGGACCCCGTTTAGGACCCAAAGCAATTTTACAGTAGTCACTGATTGCTGGGGTGCTGTCAAAAGAAATGACCAGAAAACAGGACATAGGTTTTGGTTACTTTGCTTTTATAGTTTGGTATATTTTAAGTAAAGGTAGGCAAGAGTTTTAAGAATTTAGGGGGAAAAGATACTTAAATTTTTACCTCAAAGTTATCAACCCTGACCTTTTTAAAATTAATTAGTTCTTTTATTACATTTTATTGTTTGATTGGTTCACTGACTGATTGAGATAGGGCCTCCCTATGCAGTTCAGGCTGCCTTGGAACTTACTATGTAGCCCAAGCTGGCCTCAAACTTGTTTCAGGCCTGTTGCCTCTGTTTCCTGAGTGCTGGGATTACAGATGTGTGCCACCACATCTGACTAAAAGGTCTTCTCATACAGTATATTGTTGGAACTAGAAATTGGTAAAATCACTTTGAAAGGCAATATGGCCACATTATTAAGATTTTGATCTGGACATTTCACCCGTTGGATTTGACCTTAGAAAATTACTTGTGGGGGCTGGGGATTTAGCTCAGTGGCATAAGCGCCTGCCTTGCAAGCAGGCAGTCGTGAGTTCGATCCCTGGTACCGATAAAAACGAAAAAGACAAAAAAAAAAAAAAAAAAAGAAAATTACTTGCATGGCTGCACAATGAGGCACATACAAAAATGGTTTGACAATATGTAATAAGGGAAAATGGGAAGCAACCTAAATGTTCACAATGAGATTAAATGTTCTAAATCCACACCATGGACTTAAGACTCTATAGAAGTCATAAGTAATGAGATAGAATCCCATACTATAAATCTCTATGTACTAATATGAGAAGATTTCTAAGATACGAAGAAAATAAGCTGTAGAATAAAATATATGATAAAAGAAAAACAAACCACAAAAAACACAAAAGAAGCTACAGAAACTTCACCCCTCACCCCAAGAATCAAACAGGAGCAATCAGGGCAAGTCTTGATTGTGCAGACATACTGTATTAATAACCCTACATGCAAACTCCAAACATGTCCTAATCTGAGCTCTGAAAAAAAGGATTAGGTAAGGGTTATCCATCTGATGGTCCACTACTCATACATGTTTATAAATGCATACTGGAAGAGTTTTTTTTTTTTTTTTTTTTTTTCCTTTTTCCTTTTTATTGGTACCAGGGATCGAACTCACGACTGCCTGCTTGCAAGGCAGGCGCTTATGCCGCTGAGCTAAATCCCCAGCCCCCACAGGAAGAGGTTTAAAACAATGGTTGTTTAGGGATAAAGACCAGAAATACAGATGATGGTCAAAGGAAATGGACTGGATTATTTGTACTGTTTTCAATGAGAGACAGTCACAAATTACATAGCCAATCAAGAAGTAATTAAAACAAGAAATGAAAACACTAAGGCCATTAATTAACTCTGAGTAACCTTTATTTATATTTCATTTAAGGCTTTCCTCTAAATTTTTTTTTAGAGAGAAAATCTCACTGTGTAATGCAAACTGGCCTTAAACTCACAGCAATCCTCCTGCTCAGCTTCTCAAGTGGTAGGATCATAGGCATGTAGCACCTTGTCCCACCAAAATAGGTTGTTAATGCATAATATGTAGAGTTCACACTCCGCTTGTTTGGATTTTATTTCTAGTTTGGCTGTGCTATGGTCAGCCAAGCAGAGCGGTACAGCCTAGCAGATTCAGCTCTTCTTTTTTCCCTCCTTTTTGAGACAGGGTTTTACTATGCAGTTCAGGCTGGCCTTCAACTCACTTTATAGCCCAGACTGGCCTTGAACTCGAAGTGATCCTCCTGCCTTAGCCTTTTGAGTGCTGGGATTACAGGCGTGCACCACCATACCTGGTCAGCTATTCTTTTTCATTCTGTTTTTTCTTTATCATGAGTAATCTAAATGTTAATCAACTACAAAATTAGGTAAAATTCCATGTTAAAAATTTACAAACAGGGGGCTGGGGATTTAGCTCAGCGGCATAAGCGCCTGCCTTGCAAGCAGGCAGTCGTGAGTTCGATCCCTGGTACCGATAAAAAATGAAAAAGACAAAAAAAAAAAAAAAAAAAAAAAATTTACAAACAGTTGAGTATCCTGCATCTGAAATGGTCAGAACTAGAAGTGATTCAGATTTCTGGGACTTGGGTTTTGGAATACTGTATTTGCATATTCTTTATTGTTAAGCATACCTTCTTACTTTTTTACTGAAACCTCACCTTTCTTTTTATTTTTATTTACTTTTTTTTTTTGTCTTTTTGAGACAGGGTCTTGCTATGCAGTTCAGGCTGGCCTTGAGCTCACTTTGTGGCCCAGGCTGGTCTTGAACTCACAACGATCCTCCTGCCTCAGCCTCCCGAGTCCTGGGATTACAGGCGTGAGCCACCACGCCCAGCTCCCTTATTTTCATTTACTCTTTATAATATTTTTAACATGCTGAGAAGTGAATGTAGGATCTCATTATTCTTTATGGACTATGTTAACACACCCAGCTTCAGCATTACAGACATTGCAGAGAATACAGTGTGCCTACTGCTATTAAAAACACAATTTCCTAAAAGTATTCAACATACATTGTTTTAAATAATTGTAAAAGTGTGTTTTTTAGAAATAGGCATAGTATTTTCTTTCCTTCTTTTTTTTTGGGGGGCGGGGTAGGGTACCAGGCAACAAACGTACAGCCTCATACTTGCCAGGCAGGTACTGTGCTGCTGAACTATATCCGCAGCACACATAGAGGGCATTTTCAATTTCTTGGAATGCTTTTGAAAGTACTATTATTTTTCCTCTTCCATTTTTACACTGTATTTAGGTAACACTATACACAGTGTGGCTCAAAAGTTAACTGATTTTCCTAAAAACACAATGAAGACTCAGAAACTCAGAATTGGCCAGACATAGTGGTTCACACCTATAGTCCTAGCACTTGAGAGGCTGAGGCAGGAAGACTGCTGCAAGTTTAAGGCCATCCTGAACTGCATAGTGAAACCTTATCTCAAAAAGCCAAGAAAAAAAAAAAAAAAAAGAAAAAGAAAAAAGAAAGAAACCTAGACTTACTGATTCCCATTCCAATGCACTATCATAACTAAGTGTAAGTATTATCTTCCATCTTTTTAAGAGAAAAAGAACAACTACTGCAAACTACTTTTTTCAGGTGATGAATATGTTTCAAATCTGTAATAACTGTAGACACTCAGGAATCATAAGAATGATTTGTAACAGGAATTAATATGCAGGAATTGATGCATAAATATGTATCTAAAAGAGCCTAGGCTGGGTGTGGTGGTCTATGTCTGTAATCGCAGCACTTGGGGAAGCTGAGGCACTGTGAGTTTGAGGCCACCTTGAGGTACAAAATGAATGCAAGGCCAACCTGAACTGCACAGCACAACAAAACCCTGTCTCAAAAAAAAAAAAGCCAATAAATATAAAATAGCAAGGGTCAGTTTCTATTACTGGTATTCCCAGTTTTATCTTTTCTCTTATAAAAATATTTTAGAAAAGCATGATTTAAAGTAAACACTTAATGTTTTCTCCAAAAGCTGAGCTGTTAATTTTTTATTTTGCCTTGCTTTACCTCTCTTCCTCCATAATGGAGTCTTCTTTCCCAGTCATTTCTGATGTGGTGTCATACATGAGTTTGTGAGTTTCAATGAAGTTCTTCTGTAAGGCAGACATTTGAGCCATGATTTTCTGGCGATGTAGCCTAGCAGCTTCAGCTTTTCTTTTTCGTTCTGCTTTTTCTTTATCATGAGTAATCTGGATGTTAAGAAATCACAAAATTAGCAGAGATTCACTGTTAAAAAAATTTACGTACAGTTAGTTAGGGATATCTCATCTGAAATGGTCAAAACTAAAGTGTTTCAGATTTATGTGACATGGATTTTGGAATACTGCATTTGTATATATGAAGTGTTTCTGACCCAAATATGTGAAGTCAAAAGTTGCCCAAAATTTTGGATTTTTGAACTAGAAATACTCAATCTGTTTTCTTGGCAAAACCTCTTAGAATAAGTTTCTGGAAAATTCAATAACCCCTTAAGACCTAGGTTAGATTTAATGTTTTAAAATTAACATTAATATCTATCATTATTGTACAACTCTATATCAATAATTTAATGTAAAAGGCCAAGTACCTTAATTATCTAATAAACTGCCTTTTATACTCCGTGTAGATACATTAAGAGATTTAGGTGGAACAAAATTTTGAAATCATTTAATCAATCACTTATTCACTGATATTTAAATTGTAAGTACACAAACTTCATGTCTAACAGACCTAAATGCACTGCTAACATTAAGAACTTCAATGATACTATTGAGACATATTTGGTGCCTTTTTATTGTATTTTTCTTTCTACTGACACCAAATAATCACAAGTAATAATATTCTAATAATTTAAAGGTCAGAATTTAAAAACCTAATTCACTACACTATGGAAATAACTGATGTAAATACTACTACAATTCCTTGAGTCTAAAATACACCATTCTCTTGTACTCCTGTAACAGAAGGATAATGTAAATTATGAGAATCCACTGACTGAAACAAAATAATTATAGACATAAAATATTTTTCAAATTAATGGTAGTATAGCCTGCCTGCCTTTCTTTCTTTTTTTTTTTTTTTTTGGTTTTTTGAGATAAGGTCTGGCTATATAATTATATAATTCAGGCTGGCTAGTTCTGAATTCACTATGCGGCCCAGGCTGGCCTTGATCTCCCAGCAATCCTCCTGCCTCAGCCTCCCAAATGCTGAGATTACCAAAGTGCACCATCACACCTGACTAATGCTTCTAATAGAGCTCCATTATATATCAAGTTCTCTGATTTTATAAAATACAGATGTAGTCAATGACTATAATTTGTCTGTCAAGTATCATTATTGCCTGCACTATGCAAACATAATTAAAGATAAACAGATATCATATACATTACATAAACAGTTTCTTTCTACAAGTAACTCCTTGTTCACAAATATTTCCATTATTATAGTGTTCTTTACCTCATCATTCTTAATAGAGTCCAATCCTGAAGTAGTTGCCACAATTAAACAAGATTTTTCTCTTAATCGCTTCACTATGTCAAACATCTGTGAAAAACAAATGAAATATTAAATGATCTGATTAGACTGTCCAGAAAGAAAAATTTCACTATTTAATTTGACTATGATGTCTCCAAATATCTTTGACTTAAACTATCTCAATTTTTGGAAAAATAAAAAAAGTCACCCTAACTGTGACAACTCCTGTGATCAAGGAGCAGCCAATTGAGTATCAGGTCACCAGTATAAAAGTAGCTGAATAAGTCCACAGCTCTGAGCATGCCTGTTTGCTTTAGACAGATTTTCTAGAAAACTTTTTTTTTGAGACAGGGTCTCACTACATAGTTCGAGTTGGCCTTGAAATTCTTCCTATGTCCTTCAAGATGGCCTCAAACTAACCATGATCCTCCTGCTTCAGCCTCCCAGGTGCTGGATTACAGGCCATTACACTAGCCAAAAAAATAACATTTCTTAAAAATTACTTTTTGCTTGTTTGTTTTGAGACAGGGTCTTGCTATGTAGTTTAGGCTGGCCTTGAACTCTTAGTGATTCTCCAGCTTCTACCTCATGAGTGCTGGAATTACGGATATACACCACCACACCTGACCTAACTTTTTCTTTTTTAAAGTGATGTAGTGTTTCAAAGCAGTCCAAGCTGGTCTAAAACCCCATGACTCAAGTGATCCTATTGCCTCAGCCTCCCAGCCACAGTGCCCAGTATAAAATAACATGTTTAATGAGAAGACACAAAATGAAAAGTAAAAGAATCGTGGAAAGAATTTTCATAAACCAAGGTACCACTATAACCACCTTGGTTAATCATCTAATGTTCTTTTCCTTCTTTCTTTTATATGAGGAAGGGAGTTTGAGACAGGGTCTCACTCTATAGTTTAGGCCGGCTTGGAAGTCACTGTGTAGCCCAGATTGGCCTGGAACTTATGGCAATTTGTCTGCGTCAGCCTCCTGAGTGCTGGGATTATAGGTGTGAGCCATGAAGCCAGGGTGCATATAATGTTTCTAAAAGCAGATACTGTGCTTTCACAT